TTAAACATTGATATCTAAAATTTTTCATTATCTCTAAACTAAATTGAAATCCCCTATAATTACCATTACAACAAGACTTGATATCTTAAACTTTTTTTGTTTCCCTTGAGATTTGACAAAACAATAATTTACTATACATGTATGTTTAAAATTATTTGTATAATAAGATATTATACTTTTATTATTTTTATAGGATAAGCGTAATTTTGTACGCAGTCCTCCAGTAGGTGTAGATTTCAGTTTCAATTATGAGACTTCATATCCTGTTGCTTTGGCTATTTTAGCTGAAGACCCAAACTTAGAGAAAATGCGGTTTGATCTTGTTCCCAAAATGTAAGTTTTAATTTTCATAATACAATTATAATATGCATCTTATATCGGAAATTATTTTATTTAGAATAAATGAAGAAAGTTTCTGGCAAAACTATTTCTACAGAGTCAATTTAATTTGCAATGCAAGCAATTTGGAATCACTAGAGACAACAGATTACAAAACAGCATCATCTAATGTCAATTCTGATTTGACAGGTAATTAAATTAGGATAAATAGTATAATTATAAAACATTAAATATTATAATATGTAGATAGTAGGTATATACATTAAAAAAAAACCCTTAACATTATTAAATAATTATTTTAAATTTTTAATATTTAGAAACACATTTATTATTCAATTTTAATTTATTTATTAGATATCATAGAAAATTAAACATAAGGCTTTGTTTATTTTCATAAAAATGTGACAATGTTTTGTTTTTGCATGAAGTTATCTTTGGACATAAAAGTACCTGTTCTTATGCCATTTACTTCAAATTTTAGTGAAATAATGCACATATTATTATTTAGTTTAGCATACACTTTACTTTGCTTCGTTTAAAAATTATTATTGTAACAATAGACTCCACGAAAAATGACACTTATATGAAAGAATCAGAGTTTGTATCCGACACATTTGCAGAACATGATACAAATGAAATAAATGAAATAAGGAAGAGCTTGAAAGAAAGTTTGGGCGTTGAGTCTTCAGAAAATGGTAAGTAAAAGAAAAAAAGTCTATATCTCCAAAGAATCATAAATTGTTTTATTGAAATTAATTAAAAATTTATTTAAATATAGGCTTATACTAATTCCGATTGTTTTATTATTTTACATAATAAGTTCAAAATTCTGGTACATCATACATTGTACCTATAATAAAGTAATTATAAATTTTAAAATGGAGTGCTAGTAATGGACCGTAGTCCGCAATACCATGCGGTTTATACTGTTCTAAAAAGTCTGTGAAGTATTTAAAAAATATTTGAATGAAATTACTACCCATTTTTTCTTTATATTTCGATATAGACTGTTTTACTTTTTTATTTTTTTAATTGGAAAAAAAAGCGTAAGGTGGAAATTTAGTTGAAATGTACATTTAAAAATAGTTTTGTATTACATATTATAAATGTAAATAATATTTGCCTTAGTTAATTTTAATTTTGTATGAATGTACATCAACTCTCATTAAATATGGAAATTCAAATTAACAACCACTTTATGCATGGACATTGGGTCCAAAATTTATTCATTTTTCCATAATATTGAAAAAATGGTTATATTATAACTTTAAAATACAGTTCTTTTTTTACTATTAAAATCCAAATAAACATCAGACAAATTTCACATTTTTTTTTTTTTAATTTGTTATTGAATTAATGCATTTGCGTGATTTGTTATTTATGTTATATTTGTTTATAGTTTGAAATTGCACTATATTTTATTATGTATCCTTGTTTTTTTATTTTACATCCAATTTATTGAGTCTAAACATTTATTTATCATCTGAAATGCATGGTTACTTTATAATTCATATATTATTATTTTATATCATTTACTTCTAATATTCTAAATTTATACAAATTATTTTTTATTAAATTCCTTAAAGTTCTCGTTTTATTAGTTGATACATGCAATTGGTAAGTAAAATAAGTTTACTACTGAATGGTTTAATGACTATATTTGTAGATACCTCCTTCTTAATTATTATACTAGGATTAACATTCAGTATATGCTTATTTTCTAACATACATGATATTCATTCAAGTATGTGTGTAGACTGAATGTATTTTTAAACAAATATGTGTGTGTGTGTGTGTATTGTGTTAACAGCTTGAAACGATGTCAACCAATTGCAACCACAAGACGACTTTCTTTAAGCGCTTCGCTTCCAATCCCCCCAAAAGCGTATTTTCTCTTCTAATCGCTTTTCCTATATCCTTAATGTGCAATAATAATTTATACCCATAAGATCTATAAGTACTTTTCCTATCCTTGTGTGTTTATTAAAAATTTACGGACCCGGTTTGTAGAAGAACATTGGGAAAATGAGTTGGAGGCAGAACTACAAGAGTACGAGATTGTCAAAAACAATGATGATGGCCAAACAGACAATACAAAAACTGGATTCGGTGAAATATATGACCTCAAATAATTGTTTATTACTTAGTTGTTAGGTCTCAAAAATATTGTTAAATATTGATTTTTTAAGGCTGGTGTTCTAATGTAGAATCTAGACTAATTAAGTAATGATTGACTGTTTAAAATTTTATTATTTACAATATTAATTCTACTATATATTATACCATACCTAACCAAAAATTTATTACCATTTATGGTAAACTTAATAAAAATTACCTTCATGTTGTTAAATTAGTGATAATTTATTATTATTATTATTATATATTATTATTATTACAAAAAAATTATTAAACATGATTATTATAATACCTTATAAAGCAATAAATTGTTTTTATTATTTATTTTCACAGCTATAATAGGTACATCTAAGATACACAATTTATTACAGACTTAAAAAAAAAAAAATCATAAGAATACAAGAAGAAAAATAATTAATAGACATGTACCATACCATATAAAAATCTGTTAATATAAAGTTAAGAATAATTGTTTCAATGTACTAGTAAATTTTTATGTAATATAGAACCTTAATACTTAGTCATTATATTATATAGGCATGTCTATAGAGTACGATGATGCAGAGTTGATAGATGTCTAATATACATAATTGTTTCGAAGTTTGTACATTTAAATTTATAGCTTAACTACTAAACGCTTAATCCATTGATTTGGGATTAATATGTTATACTTAACCCAATGGCGCCGGAGTTTTTTTATTTACAATTTTAACCAACATTTAGTTGAAAACGTTTATGTTATTCCTCAAAATTGATTGTAAAATATCTATGTTGCCCCACGGCAAAGCACGGCTGTTATAGGTTAATGATTTATTTTTTAAAAACATACTAAATCCTAAAATAAACAGTCTAAAGTGTTATTTATCAGCTTAAAAATTAAAACATATAACCATTGATGTAGATAGTGGAATTGCAAACTTAACAATTTTCAGAGGCTAGTTTAATATTTTACTTACCCTGCAGCCCCAATAACCCGATAAAGGCATTCAATGAAATATTTTTAACTACCTGGCGTAGTAATTAAATAAGTGCTATAGTTAATATTCAATCATCACGTATTGACGATAACCTATTCACCCACCCATAGATGGTCACCTATCATTTACCTACTTCGCTTTGCTACTGATGCAGAGCCGTATAAGCCATTTTGTGCCTAGGGGCAAACACTTTTCTCCTACCTTTCCATATGGATGGGATTACGACAGGTAAAACGAGGACCCCCAAATCATAAAACATACCTTCAAGTTATAAGCAAAAATTATCTCCCTACCAGGAAATAAAAAATAAAATATGAACTTTGAAATTGTTTGTTGTTAATAATTATTAATTAGTATGTCATTAGGTAAATTTGTGCCACTAAGGTCAAACTATGTACACCACTAGTTCTAATAGTAATAGTACCTATTTTTTTTTAATTTTAAATTCCTCTATCTTTTATACATTAGAGCTTCAATGTGCATTTGTGCGCCATTACTCTTTCTACTTGCAAACATAATTGTATAGGCTAAGAAATGTAACAAAATCAAAAAATAGTTTAGAGATTAAAAAGTTGAGAAAATGGTGGAATTAAAAAAAAAAAAATTTTATTGTTGGTTTGATAGACTAATTGTTTGCGTCTTTCCACAATTAAATTTTCATGGCGGGCCTGGCGAATGTACATGCAAATAATTCCGTACAAATCCAAAACTACTCTTATCTCCCCCTCCAATTTGAACATACCAATTATTTCACATTATCCCTTTCCATGTTAATAAAAAAAATAGTACTTTAAACATGGAGCTTAACCTTGAATATTTTTACTGTTGTTCTGACAATACTATTTTTTTTTAGGATAACTATCGTATTACCTTAAATGGGCTAACTTTCTCAAATGAAATATAGTTAAGCTAGTTATAAGATCCTATTTTAACGTTTTGTTTTAAATTTCTGATGGTATCGTTTGAGATATCAATATTTATAATATGCTATCAAAGTTTACAACAAACGTCGTGGGCAAAAAGTTACACTCCATTATTAACATATTTAAAATTATAGAAAAAAACCACTATAACAAGTTTTAATATATGCCAAATCAGTGGCGGTCAATGATATTATTATGGGTGGGGCAGTGAGCAGGCGTGTAAATGAAGAACAGCCCCTCCGGCTAGACGAAAAAATTTACTTTTAGTACATAAAAGCATAAGTTTTTATAGTGAATAAAATATTCATCATACATGCATATTATAAAATAATAATAATAATAAGAACATTATCTTTTATTGCATGTATTATAATTACGTTTGCAATAGTGAAATATTTTTAAGTACCTAAAGACCCCATAGCCCCCACTTATATCCCTGACTGACGAGGAGAGATGTGGGTGATTTTAACCACACTAATTTTAATCATTATCAATTCAATTTATGGGTTACTGTTTTAAGTAATTATAAATATTGAAAAAATGGACATGGAGGGATCCCCCTTTGCAACCGCTGAGCCCAATATAATTACAAATTGTGAAAATATCTGATTAAAATTGTCTTAATTTATAAAAACAATGATTCAATTAAAAAAGGATACGTCCAAAATAATACATATGTCTGAAAATATTTAATTAAGGAAAATAAAAGTAACTTAGTAATAATTTCTAATGTTTTTATTTACTAATTATCATATTCAGGTTCAGATTAACGGAATTATAGATTAAACAGAAACGACAAGCTGGACTGTTTAGATAAAAGCCACTAACACAATTTAGTGGCCCAAACAGCATTTTATTTTATTTTTACACATAACATATTATTATAAGTGCGTTTTAATCTAATAGAGGTGTGGCTATAGCATCATGTTACAGCTGTGTTTATAAGATGTGTCAATCACGTAAAACAAACAACATTTTATGTATCACATAAATAATTGTGTGGTGACTGCAGCTATTTACAATTTAATTTTTATAACAATGTTATGTTTTTGGGTAGCTGGATACAATTTTTATTCGTATTGTGATAAATTGTTTGTATTAACGGTAAAATATTATAATTTTGCATTACAGTACCAAGTTTCCAATAGCGACTGATGTATAATATAATTATGAATGGTGATAATATATTACCAAAGCGACCTCATTTATACATTTTTATTTAACCATAATTTTAAAAACAAATATTATGTAATATATTTTTGTGCAGGGGGACAATATTAAGTAACATGTTATGTTTACAGTCAATAAATTTTTTTTTACATAGAATTTTATAAATTATTTTTAAAGTATTGGTTACAATATTTTAACATGTTTTAATCTTTTAGGAAATAAATATGTGCTATTCTTATGTTGATTATAATAATTTATAGGTATAAATTATCAATATAATATTAAGGATAATGTTAATCTAACCCTGAATATATTATTATATTAACTAATATTTTAACAATTTTTATAATATATTTTATAAAAAGGATACAAAAAGTCCACTGAAAAAACCTCCAGTTAATAGACTATGTCTGTTAAGAAAATATTTTTGCCACAAGTTTCCTGCTTTGAACAACAACAAACCCTAAAAAAAAAAAGGTCAATTAAATTCATAAGTGTGTAATAAGTCTTTTTCTTTCTTCAATCTCCAATATTTAAATTAAAAATAGTTATTATATACGAGTATATTCATTAAAAAAGGTTTATAATTATACATTTTAACATCACAATATTAAAAATTGATTTCATATTTTTTTGTCATAATGAAGTTGTATCGAATTGTCTGGGTCTAATTCCTCTATACTTCGACTTTTAATAGAGGAGTAACTACTTCTAAAAATGAATCTTCATATATTTTTTATAACAATTAAATTTTCAATGTCGAGAAACTTATCATTGCTGTAGCAACATAATATGTAGGCAATACAATTTTTAAACTTTATACATAGTTCTATAGTTCCAGACTATACAATTAACCTGATTTAAGACCACACGTTTCAAAAGTAAAGGTTTTGTAAAAACAAAATTTCTTCGTAAAATACAAATACCTATAACTGAAAATTTGATGTAAATGTAATTTGTATATCCTTATAATTATTTCAATAGTTAATTATAATAAGAAATGGGAATGTTCAGTAAAAAGAAATAAAATCAATTTTAATAGTTATTAAAGTAGACAAATACATATTTATATAAACCAATAATTGTTTTAAATCCTATTATTCTGACTTGAAAACATTAATCTATTTTAAAAAAAGAATTTTTTTTAATAAGTTGAAGAGGAGACGTGTGACATATGACTTGAGTTATCAAAATAATATAAATTAAAGAAAAACAAATATTTTATCAAAGTTACCCATAATGCTAAAACGGAAAATATGTAGAATATGAATCCAGATAGTCCAGTCAAGCCTAGAATGCCAGCAGTACACCCAGATAAAGCAGACATTGAAGTACGGCAGTATTCGACGACTGAAGAATTATTGCGAAGAGCCGGTTCACTGTAGGATACCAATTCTACAAATATTGTGCATCATATTTATCAACAATTAGTTCAAAATATAATTTATTCATAACAAATATTAAATAGTATTAAAAAATTACCTTTAAATTTTGTTTCTTTGGATTCTTTGTTTTCCGTCATTTTAAATAAATTTAATAGAATTATTTACTTATTTAACAGTGAAAAAATGACTACAAAGTCGGAATGTCTGGAAGTGATAATAATATAGTACCTAATATTAAGTTATATTGATTTTTAGTGGAAAAATTGAATTATTCGCCCAATCATTATTATATTATAGTTATTTATATTATTATTTATTTTATTTCTTTTCCCTATCATCTTGTATTATCATTAGGTTTGTACGTGTGTGAAGTTGGGTGTGAACACGGTTTAAGATAGACCGTCTATCTTAAACCGTGGGTGTGAAGTTGACTATATAGTTCTTTCGGGCGGCTAGTGATAAGAAACCTTGCACGTTGGGTTGCATTCTTTAAATTTCAAGGGTGCCTAACTATTGCATCGAAACTATAAAATAGATGTCGCCCTATGTCATTGAATAACTATTTATTTTAAAAGTATATAAATAATTAATAATAAATTCTATTGGCGTCAATGCGTCATTACCACGATAATTATACCGAAACCATAACTATAAAGAATTATACAAATCAATATTAATTTAAAGTTAGGTTATAAATTGCCCTAATTTCGAAGACACGTTGTCACGTTTTAACTTCTAAGTTCTAACAAACGTACATTGTACTTTTGCGGTTTACATTAACAAATTAAAAGTTTAAACTGTGTAACGATGTCATTTGTTAGAGATCACATTCTACGGAAACGGGTAAGTTTATGTTATGTTAATTGGTTTTATTTAAATTAATTATGTCATGTTCCGTTTACCTATCCACATACTGAATGGTAGTGTCTATGCAAACGAAAAATAGGCAAAACTCTATATATTGTATAAACAATTACCTAAGTTATAATTAATATTAATATTAATACATTTATTTGTCATAATTCAATTTTATAGAACTAGCCACTAGGTATTCATAAGGTGGCGAGGGGAGGGGATCTAACGTAGGTTTATTCCCCCCCCCCCAAATAATATATTTGAAAATAAAGCCCCCCTCAGTATGAGAAAATAACCAATCATTGTAGTTTAGTAAAGATTACATAATTATGTATGGACATTTTTTTTATTATTATTCAACACCTATAAAAATAATATTTCTTATTATTCATTTATACAGTACAGAGCTAATACCGACTAGTATACAATATCAAATAAAATAAAATTATATTTTAATTGTGTTTATATCATTGTTATACATTTGTTGATTAGATGTTATAAATATTATGATACAGACAATAAAATATGTTTGCGTTACACACATGTGACAGTTAGTTTGATAGGGATGTAGGGATGTGTTAGCTACCCAATAATTTACAGTATATCTGCCCATGTACCTATTAGAAAATAGAAATATTCTAGGTACATTAAAAAGATGGATGGTCATTTGGAGTTTATATAATTATTTATTTTTGTAAGTAAAATATTTAATAAATGATAATATATATCAAATTATGACTTATATCAAAGTTGTTACTTGTTTGTATAACTCTAAAAAGTAAAAACGTAGGTAAATAAATAATTTTCATGATGAGAAATAGTTTTTAACAGGTTTTAGAATAACTGAAACTGTTTCTATATGTAAGGTAATATTGTATTAAAGTTCTAAGTATTGAAGTTCTCAATATTAATTATTAAATATATTTGATATTCTCTTGACAATAACAACAAATTATAAGATATTCATTTTAAAATGTATATATTATTCAAATAGTTAACGTAATTGATTATTCAGATTCTGGATCTTAAGTTGCCTCAGTATTAACTTAAAACATAGGTACTTAAGTCATTTCATACATTCATACATATTATAATGGTTTATATTTGAAATATTTCATTCAGTAAATGGGTAAAAAAAAAATGTCTTTAATTGAGTTACTATTAAATACCTTAAGTAATGACAAAAAGTTTTATATGTTGTTTATTATTTGTAAACATAATATCCAGTCACAGTTCTATCATTGAAGGAGAGTTCATGTTTTTAGTATTTCAGCTCGCAAGCTGTTGCAAAATAAGTCGGATGGCAAGATTTCATGACACGATACCTAAGTAAATACAACTTTCTCTTGTACTTCCCATTATATTTATTTTCCCATCCATTTTCAGGTGGCATACAGTCTACATTTACTGCTGTACACAGGATTGGATTATTGCACTTATTATTGAGCTCAGTATTGTTGTATCCTTTTTAGACTTAATTTAATTTAATTATTGAGATGATACATGTGTAATATTTATTGTTTAAATATTCAATATTTGGAAAGTGACAATCGTCAGCACAGGCTGCAGGCATCATAGAATTAATAACTTTTCTATAAAGATTTATTTTAAAATTAGTGTTCGTTTTCATAATAACATAATTTTTTGACAAGTAATACTTATTTTTTCAATTTAAAATTATCATGTCTTTAATATTTTTGTTCTCTTAAAATATCTTAATTTATTATCCATGTGTGCCAGTGTGTCATTGTCACAAGTTAAATGATGATTTCTAAAAGTGTAAAATATTATTGAATACATTAATATTTATACTTTATTTTAAAAGTAAAATCTATGTATTTTTCAGGCTCAAGTGATCCTGAGAGAGATCCACTAATTAAGTTTTCTATAAGAAAACGCCTGTAAAGTCTGGTGTTGTTCTACCTCTGGGAACAAAAAATCAATTTCCAAAACAATATGACTACCATGATATTGTGTGTCTTGAAGGATCTTTCAACTTTTCATTTGAAGAATGGTCTCTTATGAATTATGTTGATCTCGGAGGTCAAGCCCGTTTGGACAAGACTAAATATCCTGTCATGTTCAGAAAGCGCATAAGGACTAAACAATACATACGCTGTTAATGCAAAAAAGGTCAGATATTTTAAATATCATTGCAACGTGTACATGTATTGTAGCCCTGAGGGGTGTAAACATTTTAGAATTAAAGTCCAGCCAGCAAACGGAACATATGTGGCGAATGTGTATAGTTCTGGTTTGAATTTTCATCACAATCCTAATGACAATGGTCTCACGAACCACGTGAAAGGGTTTCAGCGAGACTTGAACAAAGAAGCGCTGAAAAAAACTAAAGCGTTTTCCTTCAGGTCAGACACTGTTGACATGGCATCACCCACACAGTTGAACTGTGGGAATTTGCAAGGTATTAAATCAGATGACGTTGTCAGGAAAATCAGATCTGAGGCCTTGACTGCCGATGATTATGATAAAGATGATTTTCATGATATTCTGTTGATGTGTAACGATAAAGAAAACAACTTTGTGCAGCATGTCGGTATACCATCTGTGCACTGCTATAGTAAAGAACAGTTGGACATTGTCCAATGGACATACTAAAAATACTGATTAAAAATCAAGAACCAGTAACTGGTTATTTGGACGCAACTGGTACATTGGTCAGGAAAATTGACAAGAACACCAAAAGAGTTCTGTACTATGTTCTAGTTATAAATTTCCCTTTACCTAGGAATTCGAGTGTCAAGTGTCTCGTTGTAGAGATGATTAGTTCAGCACACGGCATAGTTGCAATTTCACAATGGTTGAACGCTTTCAAAGCATTTGTCTTGAAACACAAATTGACTTGACCAGTATTCATGAACATAGTGACAGATTTCAGTTACGCACAAATGAATGCCTTGTGTATAGGATGGAATGGTTTTACTTCCATATTCGATTACCTCAACTGGTGTTACAGAGTATTGGTTTAAAACAATGACGGGTCTAATGTCACGATTATAAGCATCTGTGTGAATCATAGTAAACCATGTCTATACATATTTTCAATCTAAAACAAACGACAGTAAAACTGTAGAAAAAATGAAAAGAAATAATGTTATTGATTGGATATGTTTACTGTTTAATGCAAAATGTTTGGAAGATGTTGAAAATGGGTTCAAAATATTTTCATTAATATTGTTGTCTCCATGTAGTACAATGAGAGACAAGTGTAATGTTAACCACCAACAGTCAAATGAATTGAACAACGAAGGCAAAGATTATTCTGAAGAAATAAATAAATTTCTTTGCGAATCGGACACTAGTAATTCCATGTTGTACTGTAGATTTCAGTCTATCAAAGAACATGTTAAATCTAGCTTATTATTAGATTGTTCTGAAAATACTGAAAATATAAGTAATGAATATTACGATGAATCCTGTTTACACGAGTTTATAGTCAAGTGTGTACCTTTCTTGGCACTTTGGACACCTATTTTTTTTTTTTTTTTTTTTTTTTATCAATTTACAATCTATACGATAAGTACAATAAGTAAATGTGCTGTAATGACACCTATTATGAATAATAAAGTAAAAAATGGCATTGAAATACGCCAGAGTAATGCTACCGTTGAGTCTTGGTTTAAAACTGTAAAAGTTGACATATTTGATGGCGACCGAAGATGGAAATGCGGTCGGTTTTTAAGACTTATGAGAGAGTGTGTGATGAATGCACACAAACAAATTAAGCTTGCACGCGTGCACTTGATTTTGACAATAAGTCTAGGCAGATAACTACCAAAAGAAATGGTAAAAGAGAAATCTCAGAAATTTTTAGCCATAACCATTTGGACGCAATAGAAAGTTGGGGTAAAAAAGAGAAACAACACAGACATCTCCAACACATCAACTACCGTCCTTTCAAAACCCTGTCGTTAAAAATCTCAAAGTCTTAGACCATTACAGCAGATAAAAATAACATTTCAGCCAAAGTGGCCCATGGTATCGAAAGCCCTGTTGTTATAGAATGTGACAATGAGACTGGGTTCACTGTTGAGCCTATGAACAACGACATGGTTGTACATGATTTGAGTAAGCCATTGGACGATTGTTTAACAAAATCAGTTTCGACACCTGGCAGTCATAAATCTCCGTTTCGACTATCAGCTCTAGCTATGGATTTACACCAAAATATGCTCCCTAAAGATTTGGCGTACTATAAACCAATTAAGATGCCAAAAAATAAAGATTATATAGTTGTAAAATATAGTAATTTATTACCTAGTGCTCATAATTCTAATGTCATGACCAACCTGGATTTCCCAGAATTTGATACATTGTCTGGAACAAACTGGGTGTCTAGCTTTGTTATAGATATTTGTTTGTTGTCATACTCTAAAAATCTGAGCTTAGAAAACACACACATTTTATCGTGCTTTGATGTGACTTTACTGTTTATTAAAAGAGTAGTTGAGGAAGTTCATGACAAAATTACTTTCAATCAGAACAGTATGGTTATTCTTCCATGGTATAGTCGTACTCACTGGATTGTAGTCTTTATAAATTTCAACACCAGACAGTGTTATATCATGGACCCGTTTAGGCCATATGATATAAACCAACGAATATCAATAGATCGTTTCAATCAAGTAATTCAAATATTGAAATCAGATGTCATCTACGGTGACGGCACACATCAATGTCCACCCTTAACACTGATTCCACGCTCTTTTGAAAATGTTCCAAAACAAATTGATGTGGAGTATAGATCATATATTACGCATTTAAATTTATGGACAATTCCAAGTTCAGTTTAGAGTTTGATCCTAAAGGTAATAGAGAATATTTAAAGACCTATCTATTAGAGAATTCCGAAGACATAACAAACGTATGTTTATACTGTAACTGGAACTCAGACAGGCACCGTTGTCGATCGCATGATGAATATGTAGAATGGGTGTCGTGTTGTCGCTGGATAGCCATTAATTGCATCCCTGAAGAAGACAGAATTGTTAATTACGCAATTGATGATTTCTTCTGTTTATTGTGTAAGAAATGATGTATGAAATTACATATCAAAATAGTAATTAAATTACTTAAGTTATTTTATTTATGATCACAGCTTCAAAACACAATTTTTAACCACACCAGTAATGCATTTAATATATTATTTGACTTTAAATTTAATTTAATCAAGCATAACTGACAGTCCGCAGTCTGATTCAAAGTGGGACGGCATTTTGTGTTTTACTCAGGTATTTAATTTATATATTTAATGTATGAGAAGTATAACGTACTTTATATATGTAAACAATCCATTCATTGTAGAAGTCAGAACTTGTATCTTCATCATAGCTTTTCATCTCAAGTTGTTAGTTCATGACATTTCACTCCATACCATATATTTTATACACCAATAAATTTTCCAAAGCAATTTTGTTGTGTATATAACTGTAAATAAATAAAATTAATACACTATTAATTATTATAATATCTATACTTCGGACTTCCTAATTTAATCTATACATGCTTCAGGCATAATAGGTTTATTTAACTTGTTAAGTTATTCTACACTATTTTGTACAACATAATCAAAATAATTAAACAAAAATACTATCCTATTGATATGTAGACCAAGTCAGATTGAATACCTATTATGTTTTACATAATATTATATTTAAATAATTTAAAAGGGAATTTATAGTAATATTCTATTTAATTAGTTTTTTTTTTCATCTAATTTATTTTATAGTTCAGGTAAATTACTTTATCGTGTTATAATCATTATATTACAATTTTCAGTTCATAATTAAATTTTTGTCCGTACCTAGGTACTTGATTATAACAAATATTAAAAATGTATAATATTGTTATATTGTAAATTAAATATTGTTCTTTTACATAAAGCTTTTTATATTAAAAGTAAGCAATGAATACCTAATTTCGATTTGTTAATAAATAATTCATACATGTTAATCGTGTTATTATTATCAATATGACATTTAATATTATTTATTCTAAACCTGAAACTTAGAAATATTGACTACAGATTTTAGCTTTAAATACACCATTAAGAAGTGCTTCTACAACTATTACTTGATTAGTTTAGAATTTAAAATGTTTCATTTTAAAAATAAAGTAATTAAAATTATTAGAATTTATTTAGAATTTCAGGCATTAATTTCCATCTGTTTCAGTCAAAACGTATACTTAAAATCTTAAATTGATTACAAAATTACACTAAAGTTCAATTTCCGAGATAAATAATTTTTGTAGTAACTACTTTTCCCAGTTACAGGGCAGTATAGTCCCATCATTCAAAGAGTGTAAATTGTAAAATCTTAAATTGATGAAAATCCATAATTTATCTGAACACTTCAGTTTTAGCAAAATTATGGATTTAAAACATAAATTTAAAATTAAAAAATAAAATTATCACACGTTTTGCACACTTGTAGTTCTCATAGGTCGAAGATACTGTCAATTTAGTTGTAATACAATAAATAGAATAACAATGAATGTGCTTACGAAGACGTTTATCAGGGCCGGACTGGGTAGGGTCCGGCCCATTATCCCAAATATAATAGCGGCCCTACTCTCTGGCCATAGGCGTAATTGGTTGGGGGATTAAGGGGGGCTTAGCCACCAAAATTTTTTTTTGCCCCCCCCCCCCCCCAAATAATATACCTAATGACATATTATAAAAGAGAGTCATCTGAGAATCATTTATGATTTATCCGTCATAGAAACTGGAACCGTTTGAGTTTTTTTATATTTACTATTTAGGTTGGTTCTTTATACATTATTGTACTTTGTGTCATTGTAGTTCTTTATAGTATAATATGTGTTAAGTAAAAATTATAATTGAGTGTACAAAAGGACAATTTTTATTCTGTTTTTTATTCTGTTTATTCAAATAAAAGTACCAATTTAATTTTAAAAGCATCTTTAATTGAAATTTAATAGGGAAAGTATGACATTGGGACTATAGTTAATACTTTAGTTACCTACCTCCATTATCTTGATATATGCATATACCTAACTAAATAAAAAAAACAATAACAATAATGAAAAAAAGCCGGTTAGTACAGTAGATTACAAGTGGGTCGCTGTAATGGGTGGTGTTAAATTTGAATTCAATGATATAATAACATTGTATAAAAAAAACGATTCTGAGCGAAAACGGTCAGTTAGCCTATGATATTACTAAGTATATATTTTGATGATATTATTACTGTGAATTAAGTAATTTATATATTTACCTATTTACGTGGACCCTTGTTTTAAATTTTCAATCCTTAGCTATAAAAGTTGAACATTTTATAAATTTTTAACAACAAAATAACTAAAATAGTTATTCTAGGTTTTTTATTATATAATTTCGTCCAAATTTGACGTTGGGCGCCTAGAAAATACCATAATGCAACCGAGCATACAAGTTTTCTTATCGCTAAAACTCGGTCACCCAACTTCACACTCGTAGGTTTGTACCATATCTATTCTATGCTGTACCGTGGTACAAATATTTTCAAATTGTTAAATACATGATAATACCACAGAATCAGCCACTTGATAAAAAGTTCATACTCTTTGGAAAACGACTCTTAGAATTTTTTGAGGTTATTGAAAGCCGACGTCAACGTGTTTTTTTTTTTTTATCTTGAATAAAATTGAATAATATTGTGTTTTCCTTTTCTTCACTGTGAGACACCTATTTTTATAGGTGAATGTTCTAAATTTCTATTTTCTATTTATTCTTGAATTATAACAAGTTCTTTAGTTATTAGTTAAGTCAATAATATCAGTTCTTCTATACTTGTTAGTCGTTTCTAGTTAATAATTTCATAAGGTACGAAAACTTCGTCATTATGTTTATTTATTGTACATTATTATAACTATTTTATTGTGAAAGTCAATAACAATATTGAGTGTCTTCTGACTTGTACCTAATACAAATTAACCAAACACATTATTGGATAATATTAAAGGATTTTTTTTAGGTTTAAGAACTTGAAATGCCGCGAAACAAAGCCGTCGAAGAGACGGATAAACAAATCCGAATAGCTATTGTGAATAATGATAAATGTAAGCCCAAAAGATGTCGTCAAGAATGCAAAAAATCTTGTCCTGTCGTGAGGATGGGCAAATTATGTATAGAAGTAACACCAAATGATAAAATAGCTTCAATATCAGAAGAATTATGTATTGGTTGTGGTATTTGTGTCAAAAAATGCCCATTCGAGGCAATAACTATCATTAATTTGCCTAGCAATTTGGAAAAGGATACTACACATAGGTATTCCAAAAATTCATTTAAATTGCATAGATTACCTACACCAAGACAGGGTGAAGTCTTAGGTTTGGTTGGAACTAATGGTATTGGAAAGTCTACTGCATTAAAAATACTTGCCGGCAAACAAAAACCAAATCTTGGACGTTTTTCAGTGAGTTGATATAAATTTAATAGGGAATTCTTTCATTGTTGTTTTTGCAGATATTTAAACTAAGTTTTACTATCTTGAAATATTCATAGGATCCACCCGATTGGTCTGAAATATTAAATCATTTTAGAGGGTCAGAACTACAAAATTATTTTACCAAAATTTTAGAAGATGATTTAAAAGCAATGATAAAACCTCAATATGTTGATCAAATTCCCAAAGCTGTTAAAGGTACTGTTCAACAGTTGTTGGATAAGAAGAATGAACGGAATAATATTGAAGAAATATGTGATTTCCTTGGTATGTTAGTACTTATAGTATAATTATTTATTCATGCATAAAATACTAATCTTATTTAAATATTAATATATATTAATAACAATATGTTATACATTTATTTTAGAGTTGGATAAGATAAGAGATAGATCCATTGAACAACTTTCTGGTGGAGAATTGCAACGTTTTGCATGTGCAATGGTCTGTATTCAAAATGGAGACATATTTATGTTTGATGAGCCTTCTAGTTACCTTGATGTTAAACAGCGTTTAAAGGCTGCTTTAACTATACGGTCCTTAATTGCTCCTGATAAGTGAGTTAAATTTTGAAAATTCTCTTTAAAATACAAAATGTAATCGGTTAAAAAATAATTTTCTAGATACATTATCGTAGTAGAGCACGACTTATCAGTGTTAGATTATTTATCTGATTATATTTGTGTCCTTTATGGAGTACCTGGAGCTTATGGAGTTGTCACTATGCCTTTTTCAGTACGTGAAGGTAAGAAATATTTTTTTGTTGATTTAATATTTTACTTTTCATATATTTATTTTAAACATAATTTATTGTTCATATTATATTTGTTTTAAACATATTTTAGGCATCAACATATTTTTGGATGGTTTTGTGCCAACTGAAAATCTTCGTTTCCGAGACGAAAGTCTTATTTTTAAAGTCTCAGAAAGTGCTACTGAAGAAGAAGTTAAACGCATGACTCATTATGAATATCCAGAGATGTCAAAAACATTGGGCAATTTTTATTTGAAGGTGGAAACAGGACAATTTACAGATTCTGAAATTTTGGTTCTGTTGGGTGAAAATGGTACTGGAAAAACAACATTCATTAAACTTTTGGCCGGTATTATGCCAGCCGATGGTGCCAAAGGTATTATACATTTTTATTTGTGTTTGTTTGTTTAAGTTTATTATTTTTTGTAACTAAATCAATTGGTTAACATAATGTTGCAGTTGAATTACCAAGGTTGAATGTAAGCTATAAACCTCAAAAAATTAGTCCTAAAAGTCAGTGTATGGTGCGAGTACTTTTACATGAAAAGATTCGAGATGCTTATATACATCCACAGTTTATAACAGAAGTTATGAAACCATTAAAAATTGATGATATTATGGATCAAGAAGTTCAAAATTTGTCTGGTGGAGAATTACAGAGAGTTGCTATTGCACTTTGTTTAGGGAAACCTGCAGATATATATTTAATTGATGAACCATCTGCTTATTTGGATTCAGAACAACGTTTAGTGGCTGCTAAAGTTATTAAGCGATTCATTTTGCATGCTAAAAAGACAGGATTTGTGGTAGAGCACGATTTTATTATGGCAACTTATTTGGCGGATCGAGTTATTGTATTGGAAGGCCAACCATCAGTATCATCTACAGCAGATACTCCTCAAGGATTATTAGCTGGAATGAACAGATTTTTGGAGCTACTCGGAATTACTTTTAGAAGGGATCCTAATAACTTCAGACCTCGAATTAATAAAACAAACTCTGTGAAGGTGAGTGGGAGCATTTTTCAATAATAATTTTATATAATGTCTTGAGTAGAAGGAAGTTACAAAGTCAAAATATGCACATAAAAAAATGTAAAGTATTCAAACAAAAATTTTAAATAATATGCAAAAAAAAGAATATTAGTATATAATATGTTTATATATTTGTACTTATTAGAAAAAGAAAAAGATATGTATAAATCGAGTATGAAATACCTACATAGATATTACATTAAAATATGTATATAAAATAAATATATAGAAATTTAAGAACCATGCGTTTGATTCTAAAATTGACAATATTACATTGATGCATTTTAAATTTTTATTTTTTGAACATATTGTATTAAATGGATTTCTACTTTTGTCCGACTAAAAATTGTATAAATAGGTTTAGAAATAATATTATATATGTTATAAGTTACATATTATAATTTAATGAGGAATTTCTACAAATTCCAATCCCTAGTATGACTAGTGTTTCAATATCATAAATCTGATAACATATTATATACAGTGCATTAACAGTACTGAACTGTTTGAAAATTTTATAAATTTCTATGGTCATAATAATATGTTAACAAGATTAACCTATGTTATTATTACTATTTAATATGTTATAATATTTGATTTATTTTCTAGGATGTGGAACAAAAAAGAGCTGGACAGTACTTCTTCCTGGAAGATTAAGAAACAATATTATTCAATTGTTTCATAAATTCTTTATCTCAAACATCAAATAAAATACATTTTTATAAATATAATAATTGAATCAATTGAATATAATATATATTTTTTTTTTTTATAATCATAATATGTAAAATAAATTGATTTATTACCTTCTTCTGTAGGTACCTTATATAACTTATTTGATAATAAATTTAAAACATGACTTATATAAATATATGAGCATAATTTTAACTGATATAATATTTTAGAAAATTAAGTATATAATCTGTCTCACGAGAGCACGGGACCGGCGGTCGACCAAAATTCGTTCGCCGCCGCACACCCCCCACCAGCTTTTTGTTGTAAGCGTGATCACGTGGTTATCCACTCACCAATCGAATCAGTCTACATGTGCAAAACGGTACTTTTCTTTCGTGAGACAGACTATAGTTCTGAATATAGAATGACCCCTAATTTTGTATTGATATTAAATACATTGGTACTCAAGAACTACAATTGGATATATTCAATTTTCTATAGATACATGTAAATAATCTTGGTTTAATTGAAAAACTATTAATTTTATGATACATTCAAATTGAAATATCAAAAGTGGTATAGCGTAGATTTCATAATATTTAGTAATTGTCTATTTTGAAATCAATGGTGAAAGTCAATATACAACTTGTAACAGTGGCGTAGACTAGGGGTTCTTGGGGGGTCAACCCCGCTCTACATTGGCTTTTTATTACCTAAATTAGCTTGAACAAGTTCCTCTTCGAATCTGTCGGTGATGAATGTACCAAGAGAAGCAATTATGTCATTTTGTATTGCGGATGATGTACCTTGAAACACTGTCGACTCTTTTAAGTGGTTGTCTAGAATAGGATCATACTGATGAATTAATTCTAGGAGTTCTAAATAATTACCCCTGTTGATAGATGCACTAGATTCATCATGACCGCAAAAAGGTAATTCTTGTTTGTGTAAAAAACACACACCATCTATCATACGTTTCAAAATTGCACAATTTTTTTTAACCTTTTCATTATGCATTAAAACACAGGTTTTTTTTTGTTAAGTAGGTGAGATCAATTCGATTTTTACCAAAAGTATTTATTTGAAGAAAACTTTTTATATGATTAATATTGATTTCTCATGTCTACATATCGCTAAAGTTAATGTATTTAATTTGTCAAAACCAACTTTTGACCAAACACCATTTTTTGTTGAAAATAATAAGCATGGCCAACAGTAAAGTTTATTTAATACACAAGAACCCATTAACCAAATAGTATTATCATACTGTGAAGTATCAAAATGTCGAATGTGTTCTCTTTTTTTATCTTTGTGGAACACTTGTAAGATTAGGCATTACTGGACAAGGCCTACCTGTTTTAATAATTTCATTTTTTTCAGAAAACGATCTCATTGAAAAAGGTTTAGAAGTCAAGTCACTTATAACACAATATTCAGTATCTACGATAGCCATAATAAAAGAAAATCAAATTTAAATTTGACAAGTAACCTGGCACGTATTTTTAAAAACTATTTAATAGTTATAATTGTATACTAATATTTTGATCTATTATGCATAATATACTGTGCGAAGAATTCACTTATTATAATAGTCCAATGGTACCATATGGTACTAAGTATATATATGTGTGTACAAATAGAACGCACCATACATTACGTCATATCGTACCACAATAATTTAAATTTGTAGATAAATAATGTATACATATTGACGTAATTTTTATCTGATGTATTCTTTATGGCGTGATTGTGTGTATATTTATATTACAATTTACGATAAAAAAAAAAGTTCCTATTCATTACCTTTGTATTTATAAACTACAATGGTGTGTAGATAAATTTAATATTTTTTTCTCAAACTTTTGAATTGTATATCATAATATTTAACCAATTAATAATTATCAATTGTTCTCAAAAATATTATATAGGTACATACCTATAAATTATAATAACCTATTATAATACTGTTTTACAATTTAATGAACGGATAGAAAATTATCCGTATTCAAGTGTTTGATTGGACGTCGGTCATGGCTGTAGATACTGTCCAGTGTCCACCAGCAGCATTGCAGCAACGTCTTCTAATACATACCATTATTATGCAAACGAATAATCATCGATTCAATACGAATAGCAATTTATTGGATTTAAGGAAAAAGTAAATGTAAATTAATTAAGAAAGCGTTGGAAACCAGTTGATGGTGATGGAGGCCTGAGGCTCTTCTAAGGCCGGTTACACACATAGCGAATGTTTGCGATAGACATACATTTAAATTTGGTGAAAACATTCGTTTAAAATTGAACGCATTTGATTTCTCGCGGAGTTGTGAATATTCCGTGTAAGTGTGTAACAGCAGACAGCAGTAACCAAGCAACATTAGGTTTTCAAATAGAAAAATTCGATAGGTAGGTACGTAGTATATAGTTCCAAATTTACGATAGAATAAAATTTCGTAGTGACGTATAGAACTTTGTATAAGGGGACAATAGGGTATTTGTATAATCATTTTTTTAATATAATATAGGCTGACATAGTGACATAAACACAGTCAATGGGGGTGGGTGAAAAGGCTATAGTCCCCCCCTTTGCCCCTCTTGGCTACAGTGGTGGATTCAGCGCTTAATTTTGGTGGGGGCAAAAGTACAAAAAGTACATACATTTGCTACAAAACAGTGTAAAACAAAGGGAAACTACGGTGATTGGGGAGGGAAATGGCCTCTTTGCCCCCCCTGGATCCGCAATGCTAGGCTACGACACTGCTGATTAATATAGTTGTTTTCGATGTTCGTTTGCTAATATAATGATAAATTATTACCTAATCATTATCTTAATCTCAATGGCACGTGAAACTATTATACGGGCTTCGGTTAAAAGGACGTGATACCCGCAAGTGTTGTCTTCGTCTAACAAGTGCTTAACATAGCAAATTATACGCAGAGCAGAACACGTGAAGCTCAGTTAGCTTAAAAATTAGAGTAAATTTACCTCTTATAAAATCTAAAGGTAAGATTACTATCTAGACAATCTCATGAGCTTTCAATTATATTTTAATTTTTAAGAGAGTTATAAGTACTTTAAAATGTACAAACAATTTATAATTTTAAAATACTCATAGCTCGCTTTAAAATTAAAATATAATAAAAAGCCCTCGAGGTTGTCTAGATAATAATCTTATCATTAGATTTTATAAGAGGTCAATTTACTCTAATTTTTAAGCTAACGGAACTTCACGTGTTCTGATTTGAGTATAATTTAGTATGTTATGCACTTCTAAGACGAAGACAACACATGCAGGTATCACGTCCTCTTAAGGGGATCGCATGTCACGTATTTTTCGTACGTTTTAGACCAATAGGCGGTGGTTAATTACACATACTTCCGAATGTCCGATTTCTATTTTTAATATATTTATGAATTCTTTGGCAAAAAACTAGGCTTTCTAGGAAGTCGATTTTCAATTTTAAAGGACCATACAATTAGGATATATTTTTAAAAAATCTCATGAAATAATTGCATTACATTTGTATTTATTTCGGGCTTTTTGGGTTTTATATCAAAAAACTTGTTCCTACAAGTCTAGGAACTTACGAATTCAACCATTTTTTTCGAAATTACAATCAAACTTCAGGAAGGGAAGTATGTTTAATTTACTACCCTCTTTTGGTAGTTTTTATAGGTGATGCATAGAAGAATATATTTCGTTTTTCTCGATTAATTGACATGTGCGTGTGCGTGCGAGAGTGACACACGGTGGATTCCGAACGTATCTACTCACACTAATGATCATTAAATCATTTACTCCGCACACAACCACACTGCGTAACGAGTATAAGGCATCGAATTGCCTATATGCGACCCCTTATTTAATCACCGCCTCCAATCCCCTTAAGGGGCCTCTTGTAGTCGTGTGTCTTTAATAAGGTCAGTGCCGTAACTAGGCTACTTGAGGCCTGTGTGCAAACCAAAATATTGAGGCCCCTTATTATCTTTTTCAATACACAACTCAAAAACTTTTTTTGCAATTTTTAAAGTCAGCAGACAAAAAAAACCGGTCGACAATTCTGCCGATTTTTTTGTATTCAGAAGGGCCAGTTCTATAGATCATAAACAAATTAGGTTGTACAATAAATAAATTAACAATACAATTCAGCCTAATTGAAAATATAATTTATTGTGATTTAAATAGGTAAGTTGGGAATTTCAATCTTGAAGTGGTTGAAAAATTGCAATATTTTATGGATATGGCAGAGCTTGCAAACGTTATAATAACATTATGATTATTGATTATAACGTTTTATTTTTTACAAAAAACAATACATGTTTGTAAACGTAATTATAACGGAATGCGATAATCAAAAATAATTAAATACAGCATAACAAAACATATAAAACGGTTTTAAATTCTTAAACTACATAGCGCTAGCGTTTTAACTTTCAAAACGGTTTGAGTATAAACCGTTTTAACGCCATCATATAAACCTAGTAATTTACTAGGTTAAAAAATAAATAATAAATAATTTATATATTTTAATAATTTTATATTAGTTTAATATTAGTCTTTAGATCTTCTGAGGCCCTTCGATATATTATGGGGTCCGAGGCCTGTGTGTGGTACACACTCTGCACACCCGGTTTTTACGGCACTGTATAAAACGCAATATAGGTACACCCCAACACGTACACAAAAAACAATAATTGTAAAATCGCAATACGCATTGGTCGCGTTCCGTTCTGAATCTAAAAATCTTATAGGTACCTACAAAAGTATAAAGCGAGTATATATATTATATATACGACAGTATAGTAATATAATGCAGATCGACATATAAATCCTCGTTAAAATATTATAATACAATTATTATAGTGTACCTCTGCGTGAGTATATACAGTTAGAGTCGGTATACCAATAATAGTCGTAATAATGGCATTTGGAAAAATTAACGGGCCCGAAATCCAGCTGATGCCGGCCGTCGATTAATATAATAATATGCTGGCTACTAATAAACGATGTTTGTTTAAAATCATCGTCGACGGCCCAGGAATAAATACCGAAATCGGCACATTTGCAACTCTGAGCTCATCTGAGTATATAATCTGACCTAACCTTACGCGGACAACAAAAAAACCTGAACGAAAAAATGGCTGCATCGCATATCGAAGAAAAGGAAATGGAAACAACTATCATGCAAATCTTGGGAAAAATAATAAGCAACGTCGAGTACGAGATTATGGAAGAAGAACTTAAACGAATAGACGACATCGACCAAGAGCCTACCATCGGAGACCTGGAAGGACTTTTATCGTATGCGACGCGCTTCGCGGGGGACGACTACGTCCCGTCCAACGTATTTCAACCGGTCGACAAATCTGACAAAATGGCAGAACCGGTTGAACCGATCGTTGAAGTAGTCGCGCCTCCGGTGCAGGAAGCCGCGAAAAAGGAGCTGGATGGCGAGGCGGTGGGCGCCACACCGGCCAGAGGACTGGAAGTCAGAAATAGTATCGGGATCTTGATTGGTTGGCTGGACCCGGGGGTCAAGGCAGAAACACGCGCAGCTCCGCGCAGTGCAACGGCGAGACTGGTGTCCTCTGCGTGGAGAGGCCTGACGAGAGCCGCACGCGTGTTGCGCTGTTGTTGTCCCCCGAAGTGAAACCGTCCAAAAGTTTCCCCCCTGGCCGAGGGCAGCGGACAAGACGAGGCGACGTGTGGGGTTTCGAGGTAATAGGTACGCGGCAGTGCACATTCAGGTGGTGACCGGCGGTAAGTCGCCGATACGCGTTCTCCGGCCATCCTGCGGCAGCGCGACGGGATCGCGGACGTTGCGAGCTCGAGGTCGCCGAGACACGCGAGACCCTCTGGCGGCGCGGCGGGCGCCCGGCTGCTTCGGTCCGGGAGCGACGACGACACGACGACGACGGAGGTTAGCGGTACCGGCGCGGACAACGACGCCGTCCCCGACACGGTACCTGCTCAGTGACGAACGCTGCAGTGCTGCGCGACTCGCGTGACGGCGGC